AATGCAGAACTCCAAGCTGTGTTACAAGGAGCAGAATATGCAAAAGAGTTGGCAGTGGAGCATTTAATGATTGAAGGTGATTCCAAATTGGTTATTGGATGTAGTTTGGAGGCTGCACCTCGCGCCTCTTTGTGGGGAATTGTATGATGAATACTTAGTTCTTTATTTAATAAAATTTTCATTATCATTATCTATCAAAAATAAATAAATAAATATTTTCACAGTTGATTTTGCTGGAATTCTGAGATTTCATCCTGTTTTATTCTTAAATTGACATTCAGCTGCTTTGTTGCTGTTTCACCCTAAACAGAATTGAAATATTGTGAATCTTCAATGAAATTTAAAACCTTTTAAGTGATGCCTATAGTCAAACTTTATTAGCGACCCCACTAGGTTTGTTTCTGACTTGCTGAAAACAAACTAGACTATCAGATTAATAAGCAAAGATGCATAAAAGTACCCCCCACCGCGGCCCAGGCGTCTTCCAGATCTGTCAAAAGCAAGCCCTACCAACAAAAGTGCAAACAATGTCAAAATATATCATGATGCAGCTAATTAAATCAAGAGACATTCTTGAAAGAGCTTACCAGGTAGAAGGAACAAATCAACTGGGTCTCCAGCCTGCACCACTGTACCATGAGAAATAGTTTAGATTCATAATTGCATACAGTTCTATCAGCCTCCACCAACTGTATCCCAAATAAAGAAATAAATACCTAGTCATGAATTATAAAGGTATAAATTAAGGAACCATCATTTATTGTAGAGAAGGCTACCTTTGTTTTAGGCAAAGTGGGTTCACCACGTTTAAAAACATGGAGGCAGAAAGCAAGGTACTAGGACCTTTAGATCAGGGGACCCCAAGATTTGGCCAACTATTTAGTATTTTTCAGACAAGTACTTGTTTTACAAGAATTAAAGAAAAGGAAAAATACCATCTTCACGTTGAATTCCATCACCATCTACAGGGGCCGGTTCCAATATATTCATTGAGTTTGGAATTAGATCATCAATAGTTGATATGTGGAGCATCCGCATATGGCTATTCCTGTCCTCCACCCGTGGAACATAGAGCTTTTTCCTGATCAGTGTCTGACCTACTTGATTAGAAAAATAACAGTAAGAATTTCCAAAAGGAGAAAGAAGTTGTCTTACATTCTTTTCATCACAGCAAGAAAATGCTCAACATATGATAACTTTTGTAATCTAAAGTACTCATTATGTTGCCTAAAAGGACAACCAACTAGATTACTTGTCCATATCATACATGGAAGAAGGTGGGACATGAACCTACCACTAAAAAGGCTCCATCTGGAAGAAACCACTGGGGAAAATGTACAATTTAGTCATTTGTTACAAAGATAATCCCTTGACAAAAAACGAATTGCAAAAATGACCTTCCACATCCAAGCTATTCTTTCTATTTTACAATGCTTCTATTCTTTTCCATAGGTAATTGTATTATATTATGTATTAGGAAATAATAACGTAGAATTTTTATGAGTACGTGAAAGAATGTATATGATATGGACAACTAGTAGCAATGAAAACAGAAAGCAAGGAGCTATCACTATTAAAAAGAAAAAGACCCAGATTTTGCAAACTCAACACCATTGAGTTTAGTTCTCTAGGAATCCATCTGGTGTGAACTATAATGGAATTCAAAATCTCCCCAACTGTAAATATAGTGACCCAAAGCACCAAGGACTACTACCAAAATGTTGGTTCCACCTGGTTACCTTTGCTGGATCACTTGATGACCAAAGAACTGAGACTGTTAGATTAATAGATTATGTGAAGACCCATAAGGAAATCTATCAGCTTGGCTTTGGTGGAATCTAGATCATCAATGAAGCCACTTAAAAGTAAAAGTTCAATATGTGCTGTCATCTGACTTGAGTCTACATCATCAATAGCAAAAACACATGAAAGAGAGCAAGTGTCACTGTCCTGAAGGCCTCAAATGAACCCTTAATCATTTCAAGTATACATTTTATTGTTTCTTCTCAAACCCCTAATGTTACTGCAAGAACTATATGATACCTGGATACCTATATAAGGGTGTTGTATTTGTATCATGTCAGATACTTCAATTTTTAGTGTAAATCTCATATCCAACACCATATCTAGCTTTGCCCTTGCCATATCCAGGTAAAATAACTATCAACTTCCAATAGATCTTACCCACTAGATCCAAGTTCATGCCTCTTAGTTTGTATACCATATTTCTTGTATGCATAATAGGATAGACATTGTGATTTGGGTGATCCAACATTTTGAGTTTAACCTATAGCATATCTTAAAAATTCCCTATAATTATGCCTGTACATATGTTGTATTGCTGCTGGTGGACCACCCCATATGATAGTTGGAAGTACAACTCAGATAATTCTGTGTTTCCATGGAAAAAGATAAATAATACTATTAAAAAGGAAAACCAAAGAAACAATACAAAAAATAATAATAATAAAACAAGCACATGCATAGATCAGGTCAGTTTGTGTATGTTATAGAACTCATTTTGAAGAGGAGAGAGAGAGAGAGAATGTTATTCAGAGATGGAGAGGCCACAAATGCAGAAGGTGAAGGACACTCATGAAATTTACAATTAAAAAAATAAAAGTTCCTCACACAGTTATAGAACCCATTTTGAAGCATCCATGTGTCATGGACAACATTTTAACAGTGTTAACTGCTTACAAATAGGGTTGGGACAAGCTATTGTAATAGTCCTCCAATTGTTTCTTCAGAAATATCTTTCAGAATATAAATTGTATCCTGTGAACTAATGAATTTTGTGATGAATCTACATCACTTTAAATGGCACTTAGATACTCAAAGGAATAAAATATTCACCTTCAGCAGGACCACTTAAAATCTCTGACAAAATTTTTGATGTATTGACTTCTCGTAAGGCATCACAACTTATATACACACATAGTCTTTCAGTAGACTTGAACCATGAAGATTCCAGAACAATATTCTGAATTGCAATATCTGCAGGGCAGAAGTGTTACAAATATGTGAATGTTTAGCAATTTCTTTAGTAAGAAAAACCAAACATATAAACATTGTGGACTTTGTATGTTGTCTTTGACAACTTACAGCTTTTCTTTGCAAGTATGTTGACTTCTCTGACAGGAAAGTTAGAAGACCATAACACAGAGAAGAATACATAGTTGCAAAAGAAATACTAAACAGAAGACAGAAAAACCGTTGTGGAGACTTATAATAGTAGCCCGATGTATTGAAAACATAATGTAAGGATTAAGGGAGAAGTTTCTTTTGCATATTTACTGATAAATATGCTTTAGATATACAATTTATTAGGTTAATCCCTATGCAGAACTATCTTTGGTTTCTAAAGTAGCACAAAACTGTGGTCAGAAAGCAGGATATGCAGAAGTAAACTTCCAGTCAGCCATTCTCAAAAATATGAGCCATCTCTGTTGACATTTTTAATAATGAATTAGATATCCTGGGTGTTCAAACACTTAGTATCTAATATTTTTTTCAACATAGAGACAAACAAAACAACATTATCAAGGCCAATATTCCAATGATAAATCAGAACATCATTAACAAGATAAGGATATGAAAAGCAATGTGTTTCAGTGTTTAACACAAGCAACAAATTTGGTGACTTTGGAAACTTGAATTGCAGACTCCCATTCAAAGATTTCCTCTTGTATGGTGCAATATCTTCTTAACATAACTTTGTTCATATATGTATGAAACATGAAGAAAACCAATGTAAATTTTGCTGCTTTACATGACAAACTACATAATGGCAGAACAGTAATAGTTGAAAAAATATGTATGTAAGAATTGTCATGTGATATTCATCAAAAAAGAATTGTCATGTGTCTAAACCATAGATAAGGCATTTTCACTGATCCGATAATATTTCAAAAAGTATAGTCTCCCTTTAACATCAATGAAAAGGTTGCCAAATTCCAAATTCTCTTTTCTTATTTCCTATCCACCCTCTAAATTTTGTATGAAGGTGGCATATGGTTTCTTTTTTAGCAGAAGGAATTCAAATAAGAGAAAACTCAACTTCGCAAAGCCGCATCCTCCAAACTGTAAAGGTCCATCTGCATAACCCCATTTAACCATTCCACCTATATATAGGGTCAGCTACATGCCTTATCCCAACTATATGGGGTCGACTACATGAATCCTGTTTCACCAATCTGTTCTATTTAAAGCCACATCCACTGTTAAATTATTAGTGCTTAAATCATTTCTTACTACTTCTATCCATGTCCTTTTTGGTCTACCCCAAGCTCTTATAGCCCCTTCAATGTGTAACAGATCACTTCTAACTGGAGCAGTTGGTGGTCTTCCTTTTTTTTATCAATAACAGAAAGTTGGTGGTCTTCTTTGCATGTGTCCAACATATCCATAGTTAAATTGAGTCCTTAGATATCTCTTTTTCACCCAACCAAAGTCACCTTCAATTTCAACCTTCACTGAGCTCTTCTAGGACCCTCAACATGCAGCAAACAATTCTTTCTTATGGGCGCCAATGGTGGCCTTCTATGGACACAGTGGTGGATCTATGTAGAAGCCAGTGTGGGCAGCCCACACTGAGATTTGAAAATGTTTTATATATATATGAATTTTTTTTTACAATTGCCTCCACTCAAATAAACTAGTAAGGGGTCAAATAAAATTTGATTTCTTAAATGAGAACTTATGTTTTCATGGTTCTAAAAGGCCTAAGCCAGAGGTGTGCCCCCACTGATCAAAGGTCCTGGATCCACCACTGTATGGACATGCTTAACCTATCTTACTCTACTTTTTTTTTTTTTTTTCATTTTTGTCACCTATTAGGTCCATTCCTTGATTCAGAACAACTTGATTGTAGATATCAAGCCTGTCTCGTAGGCAATTTTCTTGGCCTTACTAAAGGTTTGAGGAAGTCCTATAATGAATATTTCACTTAAGACTGAACTGCTCATTGTGTAATAAAAAAAATAATAATAATTGCTAACAGGGTAAGTTTTTTGGAGGGAAATTGAATTGCGTTATTCCAGCCGATTCTGAACGATTCATGTAAACGAGATTTCCCCCAACAATCAAACGTATTCATATTGGATCACAACTTTCAAATCACGTTTTGTTATTAACTGAAACATCGTAACAGAACAGCCTAGAATCAACATATAAACTAGGTCCAATGTGCTTGATTGCTTGCTTGCAAATATTAAAGTTTTGTTCTAAATTCTGAAGAGATCATTTGTTCATACACAACTGTACACGCAAAATATAGTTTGCTAATTCAGGAAGCTAAAGATATTAATCTAAAGGTGCAGCCAATTTCTTGTCATTAATAATCTGTAAATGATAGATATACTCTACATAGATGATTTTTTTTTTTTTGATAGATAATACTAACTCTACATAGATGATAGTTATGCTTTGAGCTCTGAATTCAACAAATTGAAAGATATAAAAGAAGGAATGAGTTAACCTTCTTGGGATCTCTGAGAAGCATTCATGCCCTTGAGATCCTTGCGTACTTTGGATCGGAGGGTTCGCTTCTGGTGAAAAATGGGGTCTAGACTAGAATCTTTGCTCATTGTAACGAAGTAGCGGGGAGAGTCAGATGGTTGGCGCGGCAAGATTTCGCGACGAGAGGAGGAACGGGGAAAGATTTGGGCTACCACAGCTAACGACGATGACGACGTTATTGCCCAGACCGGGGTCATCACTCATAGGTAACGCCACCTTTGTCTCTTAGGTTAGCCCTACGGTCCCATTTCTTCTGCTACTGGGAGTGGTGGCCTGGTGGGGGGTTGGCGTTGAATGCAGTCAAGATTGAAGATTCTCTCTTTCCAATTTCTTCGTATAGATACGAGGATTTTTGTAAGCAACGATTCCATGCAACTCTGTGTACCTCGCCCTACAGACATGATGGGAGTGGTGGTGGTTGCTGGTTGGGTTTTTTTCAGTATCGGTCGGTTTTGGATTGTAAAAAATCATAAATCGATGGTTCAGGTCGGTTTCAATTTTTATGTATGAAAAATCGAAACCGATTTAAACCGAACCGATTTAGTAGTTACAACCTACTTAGTTCCTATTTAACTAATTTGTCTTTATCCTAGTTACAACCTAACTTAATTTCTAGTCTTCTAATTAAGAATGACATTAATGGCAAGTATCGTAAGACAACTAGACAAGGAATTTTTTTGGAAAAATTTAAAGAAAATAAACAAAGGATCCTAGTTTCTATGATCTTTTACATTAACTAGGCAATCAATTACAATTAGAATTAGGTGTCCTTTTTTATTTAGATTAGAAGGTTTCTTAAAATATACAAATTTCAGTCTTCTTTCTCTAATAGAATTTGATTTTCTATTTTCTTGATAACTTTTATTCTAACTTGGTCTGCCCCCCTTAGCCCCTCAACTCAAGTACAACCTCTAATACAATTTGACTCTCAAGACAAAAATTTGAAATTTCAATTTATTACCATGGTTGAACTTAGAGTCGAAACCGACCCAAACCATCCCAACCCGACTCAAACCAACCAGGTCGGTTTTGCTTAACATAGGGTCGGTTTCAATAAACCGACCCAACCCGACTCATGAACAGCCCTTCATCTTTTACTAGCCAGGCTATGCTGACTCTATTTGTCCCTTCATCATTATGCAATTTGAAGACCAAACAATGATGCGTTCAAAAAAAAAAAAGGACCAACACTGATCAGGTAAAGACCACACCTAGCCCAAACTAAAGACTTTTTTTTTTTTTAGTTTAGTCAGGTCAAGGCATAGGCTGAGAGGTTGTGCAATTAGTCATAGACAAAATTATAGAATGGGTCCGTTTGATCTTCAAGAATAAGGGTTATCGGAATTCGAATGGTCCAACTATTTGACTGGGAAGAATCAGAATCCCATTCTTGGTGGAATAGTACTCCCCAATTTGAGGGAATGGTCATTCCTCCCCCTCCCCTTGAAATGAGAATCCATTCCAAATAATTTTGATTTTGATTCTGATTCCAGATTGAACTAAACAGGTGAGGGGAATAGACCATTCTGATTCCGAGGGATTCTGATTTTGATTTCAACTATGAACCAAATGGACCACAAGTTATTTAGGATATGAATGGGCCAAGATGTTATTTGTAATGACCAAAATTTCAATTTTTATTTAGAAATGGGCAAAGCGCAAAGGCTAGTGAGTAGCAAAGCACTTCTTATGTCTTTGCATTCACAAGTAATACATGCTTCTTGTGCCCCAATCATGATGGGTTTCTTCCTCATTCCTTAGGCTTTGTGGTTAGTGCAGCTTGGCTTGGGGATTGGGGATCCTTTCTTAGCTAGGTAAGAAATAGCAAACACTTTTGCAAATGAATAGGCCCTAAAACTCTCTCTCTCTCACTCACTCACTCACTCATTTTTTTTAGGTGATTTAACTATTTATATTATTAACTAATTTTTAAATTCTTATTTATTTATGGGCTGAATTGGGCTTATACCAGCCTTGAAGTATTAGGCCCAAGATTGGCCTTGAGATTTGTGGGCCCAATGCAGGTCCAACCCATGCTGGATTGAAATAATCACCCCTAAGCAAATTCCTTTTGGTTTATTATATTAATGAGGAGAAAGAATAAAAAATAAAAGAATGAAAAATAGTAAATGAATTTTAAGCAATTAAACGAAGTAATTGAGAGGAGAGAGAATTAGTGGAGTAAGTCATTTGAGAAGAGAGAGTTAATGGAATGATTAATGAGGAGAAATAATCAAAGGATTTAGTGAGAAAGAGAAAAGAGAGTTAATGGTGAGTTAATGAGGAGAGATAATCAAATGAGTTAATGAGAAAGAGAAGAGAGAGTTAATGAGGAGAGATAAAAGTCTAATGAGTTAAAGTTAATTAGCTACTTAAGTTATTTTGCTCAATTTTAAAACCAAAAATAAAAAAAACTACAAAATAATTAAATGATAGGGGAAAATGTAGGCATGTAAATTCGAAACCGATTATAAGTAATGATATTCGAATTTGATTCGATATCCGAAAACTTAGGTTCCAATTCAATTTTGATTATTAAGTCAAATATTCAATTTGGTTCAAATTCTATCAATTAATCATTGTAGCATAACCATAAACCATTATCTAAATCACTCTAATCTATTCTATAACAAAATGAACATTCTTTGGCATTCAAAAATCAATTGAAATCTAAACATGTAAAAAGAAAAAAAAGTTCTTACCTCAAAACCAAGAGAAATAGAAAAAAAAGGCAAGGGAGATGGAGGTCGTAGACTTTGTGGGCGGTAGGCCAAGTGCGATAGCAACAATCATGCATTGCACCGGTGCAAGTGCGACGACTGTGGTGGCCAGTGACTAGTACTAGATCACTAGTAATGGTGGACCAGTGGTTGCTTGGATTGGGTGGCAGCTAAGGATAATGGTTTAGAAAAATCAGAAGATGAGAGGCAAGAGAGGAGAGACAGAGGATGTTGGACTGTTGGGCGTTGGCACTCTCGCTGATGGTGGTGTTAGCTTGGGTTGGGCGGCGAAGAAGGGATTGGTGCTTGACTACTGAATCGAGAGAGGAGAGGATGAGAGGCGAGAGAGGAGAGACAGAAGATGAGAGGCAGTGGCCAGTGATTGGTGCTCAACCACTTAGTTACTGACGTTGCCGTAGATGGTTGTGGTTGCTTGGGCAGCAGTGAAAGAAGGGTTAGAGTTTTAAATGCTGAGAAAGTGAGAACGAGAAAGATAAGAAGATAAATTGAGAGTTCAAGACCAAGACTTGAGAATGGGAATTTCTTTTTTTAATTTTTTACCCTCATTAAACTTTAATTAATTTATATATAAAACAGTTGGAATATTTATGGGATCAAATCAATGCATATTTGAATTTGATTGAATAACTTAATCAGTAAGAAAAACATACTCAAATTCGATCGAATATCCGATTCGAATTATTCGAGTTCAATTCGATTATGTTGAATCTCAGATTCAAATATACAGTTTAGAAGCCTAGGAAAAACGAAAGTGACATGGCAAGCCAATTTTAATATATAGATAAGATACAAATTTGAGGAGTGAACATCAAACAAAGGCTATACGTGGAATTGAACTTAAACCTCCTCTACAGAGTATAGACAACAATGGATTTAAAGAGTACAGGTTCAACAGTATTCACTGTGCATGTTTGTAGCAAAGACATTAATCAACAGTCTTCAAGAGCTATCTACTACTATAGAAGAAGGAATGAGAGCCAGAGATGAACCTTAAAGGAATGATAAGTAGAAAGGTCAAGAATTTTGGACGTGCCAGTTGAAAGTATAACGTCGGTGATAGGAGAGAGTTTTGCAAACAAATTGGGGAGGTGATTCTAGTTGGGGATAAGAAATTCCGAATGAGTAGCAGCAACTCACATATGGTTGGAATGTTTCTTCGATCCCGAGTGTCAATCTTTTAGGGAGAGGTCACGAGCATGATAAAATCACATAAGATGTTGATTGGGATAGGATTCAAGGTAAAAAAAAAAATACGAACCATGACTTAAAGCACCGAAAGGAGTATAAGAGCAAAAGTTGGCTAATGTGGAGGAGGAATCAGTGGTGGACTTCAGGTAGGCATGGTTGCAAAGCCAGAACTCTGACCGGAGACTAGGAGAGATTATTGCCAGAACCATCCCAATGGAGGTGGATGATCGTTCACTTGAGGAGACTGGTGCACCAATGTTAGGTCAGATTCTAGAAGAAGAAAGGGGCAAAACTTGCCAGAACCATCCTATCATTGGAGTCAAACAGCGAATGATAGGATGGGTACAACTCCTATGCTGATAAGCTTTGAAGTGGTCATTTCACTAGCAAAAGAAAAAGTGTGAACATTGATCGACTATAGACTTGCCACCGTGGCAAAAGAAACAAGGAGTTGCTGCAAGCCTGAGTAGGACATTTACTGTTGTATTGGTGGAGCGCGGAAGACATGGGTTGCATAAAAAATGGACTCGGACGCATGAGCAAATCCCACTTGGTGCAATTAATAACCAGTACCATCCCCATGAATTAAGTTAGCCGAAGCTAGAATCTAGTCCAACACTGGTGGAAGTAGGAGATATGCAGACAGAATAGTATCAAAGGAAAGAGATTGAGGCAAATCCTCTTTTGATAACCAAGAAAAATGACGTGGCATATCACTGTGGGACAGAGACCTCGATGAACAGTAGTTCAGATCTGGAGCGAAGTAAGAAGCGGTGAAGACTAGCAGACCCGGTTCCCATTGATGAGATAATGGATTCGAACCTCAAGAAAGCAAGAATTTTGGAAGGATGTGAAACCAATGGTGGAGAAGGAATTCTTGAGACACAAGTGGATCTGATGGAGACCTATTCGATTCCAATGGGGGTTGGAGAGGAACGAGCAGCGGAAGGGGATTCTCAATCTGAAGACTCAAAAGGCTCAACGGAGAGTGACCCAATACAGAACTCTAGTTTGCGAATGAGTGAAATTGAAGGAGAACTTGGGGCTGCAGAAGATAGTCAAGGCATGGAGGTACTCCTATCTATAAACTCATTGAGTTGTTTTCCATATTGTAATGCAGTTATGTTATTAGTTCATCTTGCATTGAATTTTTATTGTAATATGAAATTATCAATATTAAAAGGAAAAATGATATCATCAATAAAAAAGATTAATTAAAAGAAAAAAAGGAAGAAAACAAAAAAAATACTCAAAGAATTGATAATAATTCAATTTTAAAAAGTAAGATGGAGATGGTTAAATTGAAAAGATTGAGGAGGAAGGTGCACACTTGGTTCAATGAGAAAGAAGGAACCACTAGTTTTCGGTGGGTGGCTTCCCTTAATCAGCCCCCCAAGGGGTCATGTTAATCCTCATTTGGAACTGCTAGGGGATTGGCTCTCCCTTGACAGTTCAAGCTCTAAAGAGAGTCTGGTTGAAGAAAAAACCAAAAATAACTTTTTTGATGGAGACTAAATGTTCCATTTTGAATTATAAGAAGAAACTAGGTTGGCTAAGGAAGTAGGAGTGTTGAGGTGTGGATGCTAATGGGCTCTTAGGAGGGCTAATGTTGCTCTGGGAGAAAGAGGTAAACCTCTCAATCAAGCTTACTTGTGAAAGACTGATTTTGGCACAAGTTCAAGAAGAGAACGAGGAACTGTGGCACTGCTCCTTTACTTATGGTGAGCCAAATAAGCAATTGATAGACAATTTTCTGGCTTTATGGGAGAATTGTGCTAGAGTAGTCCAAGGGCCTTGGATCTGCATAGGAGATTCCAATTTAATTTTTGATATCCAAGATAAGATGGGGGGGGGGGGGGTAATATGAAGGTAAGGAAATTGGTTATGAAGAACAAAAGATTTATTAACTCATTAGGGTTGGAACCTATAATAAGCTATGGCCCGAGGTATGTTGGGACCAATAAGAGGGATGGTTTGGGTCATATAAAGGAAAGACTTGATTTAGTCTTAGCCAACAGAAGGTGGAAAGAGAGCTTTGAGGAAGCCAGGGTTCAACACCATCCTTCCCTAGGATCAGATCATTTACCAATTCTCCTAGATACCTGTCCTCCAAAAGAGAAAGCTAGAAAACCTTTCAAATTTGAAAGATTGTGGGCTACTTATGATGAGTGTGAAAAAATTATTAAGGAATCATGGATTGCTATTGAGGGTAAAAACCTTCCGTTCAAGGTGAACATAACTCAGAAAGAGTTGAGAGGAGACCTAAAGAAGTGGAACAAGCAAGTGATTGGGAAAGTGCAGGATAATATACAAGCTCCTTAGCTGGAGTTAAGTATGGAAAGGAAAAAAACTGCAAGTTCTTTCAGTGCATCGAGATTGAAAGAAATATAAGAAGCATTGGACAAAGAGTTCAAGAGGGAGGAAATGTTGTGGGCCAAAAAATCAAGGCAAAACTGGTTAAGACCTGGGGATCAAAATACTAGATATTTCCATTAGGCCACCATTCGTAAAAGAGCAAGGAATAGGATTATCTCCCTTAAGAATGAAAGTGGGGAGTGGTTTGAAGGGCAAGATCAAATGACAAGACTTCTAGTCTCACACTTTGAGGAGGCTTACAAAACAACCAACCCAAGTAATATCGGTAACCTACTAGAGGGCCTCCCAAGGGTAGTGATAGAGGAAGACAATTGGTCACTAGTGGAAGATATAGAGGATGAGGAGGTGAATGAGGCTTTATTTCAGATGCATCCTCAAAAAGCTCTGGGACCTTATGGGTTCCCAAACTTCTTTCAACAATATTGGGACATAGTGAGGAAGTTAGTGATAGGAGCAGTAAAAGAATTTTTCCGGACTGGTACACTTTGCAGGGATATTAACAAAACTTTTATTGCTTTGATCCCAAAGTGTAAAAGACCTAAAACTCCAGGTCAATTCAGTCCTATTAGTCTATGTAATACCATCTACAAAGTTATTTCAAAAATTTTGGTGAACAAATTAAAAACCATCCTACCCAAATTCATCAGCCAAAATCAGAATGCCTCTCTAGAAGATTGATTACAGATAATATTCTTTTAACTCATGAAGTAATTCACTTCATGAGGACCTCTAAGAAAAGGCAAAGCTATATGGCAATTAAATTTGACATGAACAAAGGTTTATGATAGGGTCAAGTGGAATTTTGTGAAATGGGTCTTAAAGGATTTGGGATTGATGGGAAGTTCATTAATTGGACTATGCAATGTATCTCAACATTTTCCTATCAAATCTTGATTAATGGTAACTCTAGTAGAGTAATTAACCATACTAAAGGAATTAGGCAAGGAGATCCCTTATTCCCATATCTCTCTCTGTTTTGTTTGAAGTGTATCTATGACTCTAATCCATTTACAAACTGAAGGAACTTTTTTTGAATCCAAATGAATAGTAACTGCATGCCCTACAATCACTCACCTCTTTTTTTGCGGATGATTCCAACATTTTCTCCAAAGCTAGCATTGCTGATGTAGGATGCATTATGGAGGTTCTGAAGCAACATGGGGAGGTCTCTAGTTAAAAGGTGTATTTTCTAAATCTGAAGTCTTTCTTCAGTCCAAAGTTACACCTCAAATTCCAAAAGATACTTCCCAAAGTGCTAAAAATCAAATCAATAAGTATTCCTTGCTCCTATTTGGGATTGCCTCCTATTACAGGTAAGTACAAAAAAAGACCTTTTTAATTTCTTATTGGACAGGATTGATCAAAAAATAAAAAGTTGGATGATAACAGGATTATCTATGGCTAGAAAGGAGCTGATGGTAAAATCTATTTTAACCTAATCTTGTAAAAGTAAATTTTATGGAGGGTTGGGGTTTCGAGACCCACATGCCTTTAACTTAGCTCTTTTAGCTAAGCTTGCATGAAGGTTCTTAGAAAACAAAATTATCCTGTGGTCCAAAGTAATTGAAGCCAAGTACTTTCGAGGCAAAAGTTTTTCGGAAAAGTACGGACAGGCCCAACGCAGATTTCTGATTTCCACTGCAGAGTTATAAACATTCAAAATGTTAATAACCGACACTCTGTGCACCAATGCCCGTCTTTGAATTGGCATCAATTCCGAGCTGGCACCTGCCCCAACAGTACTTTGGACTTACAAATTCTGACCCTGGGCTGAACCGTCATTCTCCCAAAGTTTTTTGTTAGTTAAAGCCCCTACAAACTGTTATTGGGGATTTAAAAGTCTCCTGGATGGAAGGGATATTATCAAGGAAGGGGCTTGTTGGAAGGTCGTTAATGGACAAGTTGTTAATCCAATTGCAGACCCTTGGATCCCAGATATTTCCTTTTTAAGCCTTATGGTCCTCATCTTCCCGCCATGACGGGTAGAAAAATTAGGGATTCGATTGACCCAATATCCAAAACATGGAAGAGTGAGGTGGTTTCCATTTGGAGAATTTTTAACTAGAAAGATTTGCTCCTTAGAGCTCCCCATAAATGAAGGAGCGGACAAGCCCATGTGGAGTCTTTGACCCTACAAGTAAATTTTCTATAAAATCCGCTTATCACATGGTTATACAAAAATCAGATCAAAAAAATTCTATTAATTCGAATCAGGCTATTTTGCACCCTAGTAAATGGAAGAAATTGTGGGCCTTGAATATTCCCCCCAAGTTGAAGTCCTTTGTGTGGAGATGTTGTCTTGACAGTCTAGTAGTAAATCAGGTCCTAGCTGACAGAAATGTGATGAAACAAGATAACATATGCCCGTTATGCAAGAAGGAGCCTGGAAGTCTGAACAGGAAATTAAAAGAATAATTCTGGGGTGGACTCTCATTTATAGCATTTTCTGTTTTTCTTATGTGGTGTATTTGGAAAGCTCGGAATGCATTTATTTTCAATGATGCAACTCCTAATGCAGGTTTATCTGTTATTATTGCTAATTATAGGTGGATGAAGGAAGTGATGAAAGCTTCCCTTCCCGAATCAACCGCCTCTTCCACTAGTTCTCACCAGAATGAATTTGTGGTTCGATGGATCATGGATACCACCCTTGGGATCTGTAATTTAATTTAATATTGATGGAAGCTATTCAGCAGCAGGACGAAGTGGTTATGGTTTTTTGTTCCAAAATGCTGTAGCTTCCTTTCTTTTTGGTAGATGTGGTATCTGCAAACTGGTTTCTCCCTTGTATGCTGAAGTATTTGCATGCAATCAAGCAATGCTGTTATGCTGCTAAGAATTTAGGTTTTGTGAACTTAATTTTGGAAAGTGACAATCAGACTATTTTTAAGGTGTTGGAAGCTACACCTTTCGATATCAACACTCAAGTGTGGATATCTACAGTCTGATCTTAGTTGGGTTTTCCTTTAGCTTCGTGCAAAGAAAAGCCAACAAGTCTGCTCATCTATTGGCAGCCAAAGGAGCAGCTTGGTTGGAAGGCAGTTGGTCTTGCTCCCCTTCCTGGCTGTTATCTCAACTCTCAGAGGATTCTTCTTTGTAGTTTAGTTTCTTTCCTGCTGTTTTCTCTCTGTTAATTTGGTCTATGTTGCTTCGGTTAGTTCTGTGTTTTCTGTTGTTTCTACCCAAAAAAAATTATTCAAAACTGTTTTCTTTATGGGAGAATTAAATTAGCCACTTTATTCATTAAAATACTGTTTTGATGAGCCTGTTTACTACAATATTTTAATGAACAAAAACTGTAGGGCAACGGTTACAGATGGTTAATATTGTTACTGCAATCCTCCATTGAATCGTATCAAGATCCATGATGATCCCTACAATAGAACCCTCCATTTTTCAAATTCTAAAAGCATCCAGGCCCACCACTTGTATTGTCAATTAAGTCCACCTAACATAAAACGAGAGTAGAGGAGCAACTTGGGTCGGGTTGGGTTGAAAATGTATTAAATTTTTAATGGGCCCCAACCCTAACCCTAATACAAACCCGATGTAATTGAAATGAATGGGTTGAAATTTGAAAACTCTTAAAGAGTGTTTGGAAGTCTGTAGTTGGACTAATGCATTGCATAAACTTGCCACATCAGCATTTATGGTTTAATGGTCATTCTGTTTATGCAGAAACAAAAATGCAACAAAGTGCCTGAAATTTAGGAGATATTTTACATTTAAAAAAAAAAAAATGTTTACTGGAGGGTAGTGGGGGACATTGTAATAAGACCCTTTCTGAGTTATCGTATGCCACATTGAAAAGTGAAGAAACAGAACCATTTTCTAGTAAAATACTTTAAACTCACCACAGCATTGTTTCTTACCAAAAGGGATTTTGGCAGATATGCTTCTTAAATGCAGAATCGGGTTGTGTGGACGTGCAGCATTGGGTTGTGTACTTGTGTTTGGGTGGGGTGGGGGCACAGCATCCTTAATTATGGCCCACCTCTTCCAATAAACAATCAGAGCACCACCACAAAAGAGGGCCCTACAATTTCCAAGTTATGGGTCCTACACTGGTTGTGGATCTTGTGTTCTCAAGATGCATTGCTCTTTGGCACTTGGATGATGGATCCGAATCCGAATAAAAACCCCCAAAAAACATCTTCTGAGAGTCAAGTAGTCAACTATTAACCACCAGTCACCAGACAAACACCCTTCCTCGCGATATAACACAACACCTGTGTGTGTTTTCCGACGGGTCCAGACTGTCCGGTGGGGAGGCTGTAGCCCGTAGGTGGTGGACCTCAGCAGAAACAAAGGCTGTGAGCGCAGCCAACCAAAAGCCTAGAACGGGGTTCGGCGCCCGCCTGTCCGGGGCCACCACTGGCCACTCGGCGTCTACATCGTGGCATTTCTGTTAATACCGCGAGCAGATGAGATTCATAATTCATTCTTGCTGTGGAAGCCACTGTCATCTCATCTGTATGCGCTCAGAGGAGCTTTAGGAGAGAGAGAGAGAAAGAGAAAGGAGGTTTTGAGTGTTTCCGACCGAGTGCAGAGCGTTGCAGGTGGCAGTAATGATGGATTCACACACAAACACCTTAACACCGTATCTTTGCGTGCTGCCCCAAAACTAAAAAAAACCAAATAACCCAAAAGACGCGAAACCTATTTCCTCTCCCTCTCTCTCTCACTCTGAAGTCTAAACAGAAACAGTCTTCTCTTTTACGGATACACCTTCATGGAAAGAAGCGATAAACAAAAAAACCTATCTATAGTAATTCACAGTAAATGTTACAGTCTGCCACTTTGTATAAAACCGTCAGATTAGAATAACTGTACTCCAACAACGTCTGGTAGCTGCGTGACATGAGGGAGAGAGAGACCATCAGACCAGTTTGTTGAGAGTTGAGACCCAGATGACTGTGGTTCGGGAACTGTGAATCAAAAGCCAAAGAAAATGAGAAAAAAAATCCTACTTTTTGAAAAACTGAGAGGAGAAAAGGAAATGGGGTGATAATCGATAACCCACAACTTTTAAAAGCAGGGAAGTAGTCCTGGCAAAAAGTTCATTCAATCCGCGAACCCGACCCATTCCAACCCGAAAAATTTTCGGGTTAGGGTCTCATATTTTAACTATCCGAATGTGAAAATGATCCGACCCGATAAAAGATTGGGTTGGGTTGAGTCATAAGTCAAGGGTCAACCCATTGACCTGATTGTCAAGTCTAATTGGAATTATTTATGCATTGTTAGAAGTTTTTATTCTTTAATTTTTTCTATTTAGTCTTTATTTTTTATTGTTTATTCTTTAAATTCTTAAATGTTCAAGTTTTTTATTTTATATTTGGAATTTTAAAGTTAATTTTTTAATTTTGATATTTTTTATATAATTTTTCTTTATTTTTTGAGTTTCAATTATTTTTTGGAATGACCTGAATTGATCCATGGGTCAATTCTAACCCGAACATTTAGGGTTAAGGTCTAACATTTGACAACCCAACCCAAAATTCAACCCGAAGTACCTTGACCCAACCCGAACCCGATCCACCCAACCCAATTGCCAGGTTTACAGGGAAGCGATCCCACTGGCACTGCACTGAGTAAGCCATGGGACCTCTGTCGTGTTAACTTTTTATTGGCTAAAATGCCCAACCTTATTTTTCCGATCCAAAGAGTGATGCAAATCATGGGAATTATTGGGGTTTCTACAGCGTGACCGCTCCCGCCTGAACATCTCTCTCTCTAGTCTCTACCTATTCATCTTCATTCTTCTAATCTTCCAGAAAAAAAAAAAAAAAAAAAAAAGGGGTCGCCGTGGAAGCAATTGAGAGGTCAGTCTAAGACTGAGACTCCTGAGCAGACCAGACCGCCTTTCTCGTGCTCCCCCGGTAAGTAGGTGGGCCCCACGCCTCCCACAGTCACGGGGCGCACACACACAGTCACACTAGAATCCATCATCAGTTGGTTATTTCTCGTCTCATCTGGTGTTGGTATTATGATATATATATATATATATATATAATATATTATTTCTTCCTCTTCAAGTCTTCATCAGTCTTCTCTTTTTTCTTCTTCTTCTTCTTTCTTCAGTCAGAAGACTTTCATCACCCGCTTTTGGCTTCGCATCTATCGCCTTCAATGTCTCTTTTATCGTTCTTCTAACCTCATTCTAGGCTTCAGCCTTCGGGGAGTGTTTGGGTCATGCCCAGTTCTAGTAGTGTGTAGTGATGAGCATCCCAAAGCGTCACCAGTTTGCACCAAAAGTCTCAGACTGCTCACCTCTGATACGAATCCCGGCCGTTGTGTACTTGAGGCGTTCTTTGGCTCTCCTTTATAGGCCTGCTTACTATGTAGCTCTGGACCTATATAACTGGGTTTCCTTGTTTAGCTTTTGATACCAAGGCAGCGATGGAACACGTGGCTAATTTTGTGTACGTCCCTGATCATTCACCTCACTTTGGATGTTTTCCCAGGTTAAGAGTCTGGCTTAGGTTAGGTTAAAATCAAACCCCAATCCCACCATCCATCACAATCATCCGCAGCCTGAACACTAACATAGACAGTGATACTGCAATGGACCAAAGGGTCTCAGACAAGATATCCCATGACCCATGTCCCATCTAGTGGTTCGAGTGAATGATTCTTGAACTATGACTAAAGGGAGAGTTGTCAAAGTGTCCCATCCTAAACCTAAAACTGAAATCAAAGACACTAATTCCCATTGTTGTTTTTAGACTCCACACTGTTCAAATTCTTGGCCAACTCCAAACCATGTCCCGGGATACACATGATCAGCACCACACATCTAGGCTGTAGAAAAGTGGGTCAGTCCAGTCCAGGTGGGTCCCTCGTCTCTCTGCCCAACTGGGTTCCCTTTCCCTCTCACCCTCTCATCAGTGTTTTAGATGTGTATGTGGTCTAATCTAATATTGCCATTAACATCAACCGGGGCTGTGTGTGACTGTGTGGTCTAATCTAATATTGCTATTAACATCAACCGGGGTGGATCCTCTGATCCTCTCTCTCTCATGCCTTGTTATTGGTTGTATTAATAGTACGCTTAACATCTTTTCTTTCCATTTTAGAGGGTAACAACAAGAAGGCAAAAAGAAAAACAGAAAGTTGTACATGGCTTCAACCATAAAGCGACAACCTAAGCCTTAATGCTTGTGCCTTGTTTTTCTTCCTGTCGCTTTCATGCTTTGGATTTCTAAACTACTGAATGAAATGCTAATATGTATTCTTTTAAATTAATGGTTGAAATGCTCTCTTAATTCCTTAATAAATGCAGCTTAAAGAACAGTTTGGGTTTTCAATTATAATTGAACAGTGAGGCTTCACCGCATCTAGCACCCAAGATATAACGAGAGGTGGTTTTCTACTGAGTGCACTGCCTAAAGCTGATATCATAAACTAAAAGGTGTGCATAGTTTTAAATGCCAAGGCCTTTCACAGTGTTTTTGGAAACTGGAGTTGACTGCGTGGTCGGACCAGCTTTAATTGGAACTGAGATTTTACCGACCTGGTTCACCTATCCAATGGAATCTTTTTGAGAACCAAATAGAACCAACAAACCGGACATTTTGACCAAGGAATTCACACCAAATTCCCAGTCTGGTGTTTTGTTTTGATGCTAAATTAATTTTCTACTGTCCAACTGCTTTGAAGTTGAACTAAATCAATTCCGTCAAAAGCATTAGCTTTAAATGCAAAGCGCCTTAAATGGTTTGCCAGGTGGTGCAAAACAATTGGGTAATTTGTATCATCTTTCCTTTATCTAGAGTTAAATTGCTTTTGTCAATTGATCTTATTCTTATGGTTTGATTGGTTTCTTACCAAAGTAAAAGCAAAAAGTACTTTTTCTTTTTTATTGTAAAAGATACAAAACCCATCAAGCAAATTTATGTATAAACCATGAGAAAGGACAAGAAAAGATCAGAGGGAGGAGCAGAGGACAATTTTCCTCATTATTATTATTATTATTTTTTTTAATACACAATGGATAACTGGTTGTTTTCCATTACAAAGCAAGTATCGGAAATTTGGTTTCCAAAAGAGCCAACCCAAGTTGTTTCCAATGGAAGGGGCATACTGCAATACTCAAAAAGCAACGCTAATGTACAGCCCCACCTTTGTCACCACGTTGAACAACAAGATGGCTGGAAATCATATTGAGGAGTAGTAACTTTTCAGTGAAAAGTTGAAATCATGCAAAAAGAAACCATTGGTTATAAAAATGGAATGAAAATAAGAAAATCAACTTTGTCAATTTTTGTGTATTGAACATTTGAACCATAGGCATGCATCATCTTTCCAACAAGACTATGGCAAGATGCTAGCTCTACCATTGAAACTTGGCTCCAAAACTAGTTTCTTTTCTGTTGATTTTTGTTGTTTTGGTAAAGGTTAATTCTAAGTTTCTTTTTTGATTCCTTTGTTTGGGATTTTAGAAAAGGCAAAACTTAAATTTTTTCATGAAAAGCAAAAGAGAAAAAAGTCAAAAACAAAATGTACTTGTAGATAAAGTTGAATTCGGAAACAATTCATCACAGTGACAATGCTTTTGTGAGTTTTGAAGTGAAGGGTGTAACCTGGGATTTGGGGGGGTTCAACAGTGGAGTCTAATTGGGTATTTTGCATGTAGTTTTTAAGAAATTCCACCTGGCAATTCTTCTTTTCTCCTTTTTTTTTTCTTTTTTGTAAATTCATACCTGTGGAAGCTTTTCATTATGAAGTAATGAACCAAACAATGTGATCTTTTTTTTTGGGTGGGGACTCTATGCAATGTAACTAGGGCTGGGCTACCTCTAACCACCAAAATTAGCATGGGAAGGCCCTATATAGTAGAGCTTGATGGGTCCTTATCTGTTCTTGTTTTCCTTTTCCCCTTTCTTAAAAAAAGGCATATTAACTCTCAATTCCATTAACTTTTGCTAACTTGTGACACTTCTCTAATGAAATCACTTCTAAGCGACCTGATGTCCCCAAGATGAGTTCACATTGGTCCAGATTACTTCAACCAATCAGATTAAAATGTGGACAGGCCACGTGTCCTCTACCCTTCTGCCTCAGAGCTTTTGTTTTTTTTTGGTGGGTTAATAGAGAAAGAGGGTTTCAACATTTCTAATGACTGAGCAACTAACATTTCTAATCCATGCTCTGAAGTAGTTAATTCTTTACATATGTAGGAAAAAGAAAAATTGGAAATGAGGGATAAGTTAATAACAGCTGGTTTGTAGGAATGGAGGAGGAGAAAGTATGAAACATTATAGGACATGTAAATGCTTCCGAATTAGGAGAATTTGAATGAGAAATAATCATTGAACCACAAACAAAATGGCAAAACGAGATTCATGTACCCAATCTCATATAGTTGGTGTAAAGTTTAGATGATGATGATGATGAAAGAAAAAATATATCGTTTTTTTTTTTTTGAAGAAAGAGAAAATATGTCGTAACTGGAACCATTATGATGCCATATGATATAATTATATATGCCATTAATCTTTGATCTTTTATTTATTGATTAAGAGTTACTTTTTAAGCTAGTCCTTTGATTTTTTTTTTTTTTTTCTGAATTACACCTGAAAAATGAGGACATAGGATTATATCGACCAAGATCAATGAAAGCCCAACAAGAAGCTGATCAACCTCTAACAAATGTCCAATTCACTACTAGACTGGAACTGAAGCAAAAGCAGGGGAGATTGGGCCGATAGAGTATATTGCATTTTTTCATCAATGAGCTACGTACAATGTTGACCTGTCTCTACTCAAATCTCTAAGGTAAGAGAGAAGGGTCTTGTCGCAAGGGGGGCAAGGAGGCAAGGGGTCGTCAGGTTTGCAGATTTAACTTCAAATTGGTCGAGACTGACTCGGGTTGTCAAAGAAACAATTGAAATGACCAAACTGTGCAAGGTCCAAGCTCAAAAATGGTGTTACTCGATCCAAATTATACTACAAGTTCTGAATCTGAATTAATGGTTTAAACTTAATGTTTTTTTTTTGTTTGGATTAAAGACTATTTCATATATTGTTGTGTTGGCACTACGGTCTATTTCCAAAACAATAGTCCCCCGAGTCACAGTTGGTACTCAGGCCGGCCTGGCCTGGTCCAGTTGGTACGATATGGTTCCGATTCATGCGGTCTGATTCGGTGTTAGAAGAGAAGAAAGATGGGAAGAGCAAACCTTGAGGCTGTATTTGGTTTGAAGGAAAATGTAGGGAAAGGAAGTGAAAGGCAGGAAAATTATACATGATTTGTAAAGATTTTCTTACATTTTCCTTCATTTCCTTACTTTTTCCTTCAAACCAAACATAGCTATGACTGAGAAGTGAGACTGTCAAGTTTGAGGAGTAGAGGTGAATGAATACTTGAATGATAGAGAAATGAAGAAGGGTTACGTTGGAGTTGCAGGGTTGCAGCTTTGAAAAGATATCGAGTCTCGCGAGAAAATGGGGTACATGTGACAATGGGGCAGGGATAGAAGTAAGACTGTCAAGTCACTGTTCTTTCTTTATTATTTAATTATTATTTATTCAGTATTTAACGTCAAATCACATCATTTCAGACACCTCCCTACCCCACCTACATCTCTCAACCCCATCCTCTCTAACGTTTCTTTCTCCTCACTTTCAACCCTTTTTCCTTTTCCTGTAAATTACCTTCCCCTCTTCTGCTTGCCCGTTTCTGTTTGTTTCTGAGTTTTTTCTTTTTTCTGTTTTTGGTGTTAGTTGTATTATTCTTTATTTTAATCTCTTTCTTTTTTAACTCTTTAAACCCATGTGGGTTTGTTGCTGCTGAGAACAGCGCAAGGGAAGAAAAATCTGTTGAAGAAACTCCTCATGCGCCCCTTTTTACCGCTACCACATTAGTTTTTTTTCTTCTTTTCTCTTTTTGTGCAGAGAGATCTTTCATTCCAAACGGCACTGAAGAAATGACTAAAGATGAAGACTTTAAGCTCCTCAAGATCCAGGTCTCTCTCTCTCTCTCTCTCTCTCTCTCTCATACTGAATACTCTTTCTTTGGGCTTTTTTTTAATCTAAATGACAAAGGTTATCTGTGGTCTTTTCTCACAAAAAAATTCTCTTTGTTTGTTGGGTTTGTTTCTCTCGATCTCCTACAGACTTGTGTTCTCAAAGTAAACATACATTGCGATGGATGCAAGCAGAAAGTGAAGAAACTCCTTCAGAGAATTGAAGGTACTCACTCACTTTCTCATTGTTGTAAGATTTGAATCTTTGTTTTTGTTGTCATATTAGTGGGTTTTACCGGAAACTGTGAATGCTGCTATTGGTTGTTCCTTGTTCCTTTCTTTTGCTACCGAGGAAAGGAATTTATTAAAGCTCTGAAAGCTAGTGCCAGTTATTCCCTTCTTAGCTATGGAGGAGGCTAACTCTGTATCTTTATATGCGCATTGGGTGGTAATAGATTAATCGTTACTCAATGTTGAATGAGAAAGGCAAGGACTTAACTAAAGCTCTGAAAGCTAGTGTCGGTTGTTCCCTTTTTAGCCATGGAGACTAGGATCTGTATATGTTCAGTGAGGGTCACAGAGAGAGAGAGAGAGGGAGGCTCTGTAGATCCTTTCCCCCAGTTATTCTGATATGATTACTATAAGATAGTGGAAGCCTATTCATTATAGATTGGTTTTAGCTTAAGAAGTGGGAAGTTCTGGAGATTTATACCATAGTGGCCACTATTTTCTCTAAAATCGTGAAAAGCATCCGTTGTAGATTGCTCTGTTGTGAAGCTAGAGAGCAGGGGTTTTTTCTTCTCCTGAAAGCTTCTGGAGGGAGAACAGTAGTAATTCTTTAATCTTCTGTTTCACTGTTTATCTACTTTGTCGGTATAAATTTGTTTACTATTTTCTTGTGCTTTTTTTTTTTTCCTTCAGGTGTTTACACAGTAAACATAGATGCAGAGCAACAGAAGGTCACAGTTTCGGGCAGTGTAGATTCTGCTACTTTGATCAAGAAGTTGGTCAAATCCGGTAAACATGCAGAACTTTGGTCTGCAAAATCCAATCAAAACCAGAAACAACAGCAGCAACAATCTCATGGCGCCAAGGATAACAAAACCAACAATGACCAAAAGCAAGGTCTAATCAAGGGGCTCCAAGCCTTCAAAAACCAGCAGAAATTCCCCACATTTGGCCCCGAATATGATGAATTTGACTGCTCTGATGAAGATGAAGATGAAGATGAAGATGAATTGCGGTTCATCCGAGATAAGATCGGTCATCTGGGTCTTCTCAGGCAGCAAGCAAATCAGGGAAACAATGCCAAGAAAGGAGATGGTGGTGTTCCTGTCAACAACAATGGGAAGTTGAATAATGGTGGAAATGGGAACGCTGGCAAGAAAGCTGGGGGCGGTGGTGGGGGAGGGAACCCTACCCAGAATATGGGCATGAAAGCTGCCACTGGAATTGATCAGAAGAACATGGGAGCTACAAAAATGAACAATGTCCCTCTAGGCGGAGGAAATGCCACTGCTGGTAAGGCAAATGACATCAATACAATGTTGAATCTATCAGGATTTCATGGCCAAGGTGCAGGTATTGGTGGCCTTGGAGGCAATGGATTGGGGATTCAAGCCCAGGCAAACAATGGGCTTCAAGGGTCTTCTTCAGGGTTCCCAGGTGTTGGTGGCGGGTTTGCTACAGGTGGGCAGCATCTATCACCCATGATGATGGCTAATATGCAAGGATACCAACAATTCCAAAATCCCTCTTCTGTGATGAACATGAACATGCAGAACAGACATAATATCAACAATATGATGATGAATGAAAGTAGGTACATGCAACCCCAGATGATGTATCATAGATCTCCCATCATCCCTCCCAACACTGGTTATTATTATAATTATGACTACAGTCATGCCCCACACCCTGGCTTTTATCCTGAAAACAGGGGTGATCACTCAGCAGCATATACGTTCAATGATGAATACGCTAACAGCTGTGCAGTTATGTAAAGATTCAAAAAAGAACGGGTTTATGGGCAAGAAGTAGAGACAGGGCGAGGTTTATCTGTTTTACTTGAATTATTATTAGCTTTTGTAATGTGGTGGACGTTGGCCTTGTAATGGGTGGGGTTAGATTGGATGTCTCTGTATTGCTGAGTGGTGAATCTTTCTTGGGTTTTTATGTCTAGTTGTTAAAAAGGATGTTCTTATTTCCTTCTGAACTTTGCTGGTTTGTCTGTCTTCTCTGTTTCTGGACTCTGTTGGTTGGCGTGTATCTGTGTGTGGACTATGGTGAAGTGGTGAAGTGAAGTGGATATAGACTAATGGCACTAAAAATAATGATTAAGTGGAGATTAATCAACACATGGGTTCTTCAGAGTTCAGAGTATGAGTCAACTTGTGGCTCCTTTTTCTACTGACAGAAGACAAGGTCATTGCCTACTTTAGTTGTACCAACAGACATGATGCAGAGTAGAAAGTAGAAAGAACTTGGGTGACATTTGCATGTTACATTTGTATTAAAAAATAGTACACTGGATTAGGTGGATGTCCACGTGTCTTTCACGTGCACAATGTTTTAGATGTCATCAACAATCATCGTCACCCACTCTCTGTTTTTTACTTTATTTATTTTTTTATTTTTTTGTCAAAGTTCAAAGTTCTAACTTTTGGTCGCTTGCATGGTTCCTAGTTTCTACATGCTTGATTTCTGCCCTTGGGAGGTGGACACACTCAAGGCCAAACGTACTGAAAAATTGGCAGTGTTGAGCCCACAGGCCAGTGGCTGTTCGAGTTTTAAGACCCAGTATGAGCAGGGCTTAATAATATATTAGATTCAACAGTCTTGGTCCAGACAATGGATGTCTTACCAATGGTCTAAAACTGTTTAACTCCTATGTCGAAGTTGCATCTCTGATTCAAATTTCAAATGCATGGTTTGAGCCTCGAATTAAATTATTATGTACTTGTGAGAGCCAAACTCTGGCAGATGCTTGGGCCATTTGATCTCTATTTCTATATGATAACCCAGTTTTTTAATTAATGCTGTCTAACCATGATTATTATTTAGCCTGACTATGAATTTTTTGTTAAATGAACCTGACTAAGATTCAGATTCATATATTTATTGGTTGGGACCCCTGCCATGGGCTTTGTTAAATTAAAAAATGAAATTGATGGAGCCCATGGCATTTAAAATTTTTTCATCTTCATCTAGAGAATACGACATTATTTGGTTAAACTGAAAAACTGAAGCTAAAATTTTGGTTTTGGTTAATTCAGTTATTAATTACAATTTTCAGATTTGAAAATTTGATTAATCTAAAAAACCGAATTAACCAAATTTCGTCGTGGTTCGATTATTTTCTTGATTCCTCAATTTGGTTTCAGACTCAGTTCAGTTTTTCTTATTAGAGTTTAATTCAACTTCGATTTATTCGATTAGATTTTTTTACTCAATAAACTGGATGCTCATCCCTATTAAAAAAATGAGCTTCTAATTAAGAATTTATAAACCCTTAGGCCTGCCTCATGAGAAATTAAAGAAAAGTAAAACGTCACTCTCTTCAACCTCAACAGTAAACATGGGTGACCGACATGCTCTTCAAAATAACAGTGAAAGACAGCATATATTCGTGGTGTGATGACGAATTTTACAGCGAATCCCAACTCAGTGGGTCACGTGATCCAATCACGATTTTTTATATTTTAGTATGGATTCTTGTATGAGTTCATGATGCTACCCAAAAGAATTTATTTAGAAACCTAAACGCAACAATCTCGATTGACTAATACTTTTTTTTGGTTGAAATTTAATCAATATTCGAACTTCAGAACTTAGAAGCATGGTTTTCAAAACCGGACCGGACTGGTGACCGGTTCCGTTTTTCCCCAAAACCAGATTTTTGTCAAAAAAACATTGATTTGGTCAACAAACCACTGATCCAGGCAGTTGAACCATTCTAATTGTTTGAACTGGTCAAACCATTCAACAGTTTTGACCTTTTTTATTTTTTATTTGTGTCAGAATGGGCCAACCGATCAATTCGAGTGGTTGGACCGTTCGACCCTGGAACCGGACCCCTGACCGGTTCGTTGTCCGGATCAGTTTTAAAAGCCTTGCTCAGAAGTGTAACACAAGCGAAATGAAACAATTTGAATTTGTTTATGAAGGTTCGGTTTGTAAGGATCACACATCATGTCTCCCTGTTTACAATTAACAAGTAGCTAAACCTTGTTCCTGCAAGTTCTGCAATGGGTAGTGTTACCTAGACTACCCAGAGCAATCTCATTTTCCACGAAACCCTAATAAGTGCATGGTTCTAAACTCCTACCTAGACTGAATAAAAAACTAATTGTTTTCCTTCTCTTTTTTTTTACAAGTCAATTACCAAATTCAAAAAACCTTCTTTTGTGTTTATGTGTGTGTGAATCAGGACTCAAAACCAATATTTTCCATCAGAATGTTCCAAAGATCTTGTTTATTTATGGTCACCTAATGGGTTCAAATCAGTGGGTTCAGGCCAGCTATACTGATCAGTAAAACTTGTACTGATGATATCAGTATATATGTAAGGTCTTGTTATAATCCTACAACTATGGATAACAGGAAGATATTTTAGTAACTTCAATTCTGAATGGATTGGATAGATAATCGATTCAAACATGTATGAACCACACTCCCTACAGTCTAACAAACATAATCTAGATATGTAATGAATAAAAGGAAACCAACGTCCAAATAATTATAAAGATTGAAAAAATAAAGACATCAAGAACAAGAAGCAGGGCAGGCTAGAAAAGAAGATTGAATTGAATTTGAGCTCAATAGTTTTAAAATGAACGAGGATAAGTAAACTTGGAGCTTAGTACCTTTTTGGAATGATTTCAATTTGTTTCTGGATACTGCATTTTATAGATACTGATATGTTTTCTCTAGGACCCTTTTCAAGGGTCTAAAGATTAGCCCTCCTAGTCCTCATTTTGTATGCTATAGGTCCTCAAACAGGTCAGTTCCTTTGCAGTTGACTTTTTACGGTTCTGAATCCTCTCAACTATTCACTTTTCTAGTTTTATCACATTAGTTTACCCCTGGTGTAAAATATTACAGAGTTACACAGAAGGATTTAACTTCTTCATATTGAGAGATGACATATATATATATATATATATATATATATAGATAGATAGATAGATAGATAGATAGATAGATAGATAGATAGTTTAAAAAGGGGATTTTTTAAACTTCTATTTATAATAAATTTTCATTTACTATGGGATTCTTTTCCTCTTGCTACAAATACTACCCAGATAGGGAAGAGGGGAGGGTAACCCATCCCTGAATTCTCAACCCTGATGAAGGAAAGATTTGATCCCAAGTATTCACTACAAGCAGCAGGAGACTCTAGCATGGTTAAACAAAGTCATCTCTAGTCCTCTGGTTCTGTCTAGCTCCTCCTCAGTTAGACCCATAATCCATTTAGAGAATGGCAGCTTGGCACTCCATACGGCAACTTTGGTCCAGTGTCAACAATACCCAGAGGTCAGAATAGTTCCCAACTGCTAGAGGAAACGTTAAGAGTTCCTCCAATGAACACAATGACCACATCCCAAGATATATAATATGGTGGGTATACAGGTGTAGAGATACAGCAAAGGAACCTTAGTTGCTTTTTATATGTTTTTCATATGCAGTCCCATCTTTATTTTATGTTTTTAGGCTTTTGTTAGTCCACTGTTTTGTTATTTTACTCTCTTATAGTCGACAGGGTATTTTGGTCTTTGTAACTTCTTTTATTGAAACATATAAAAGGCAATGAGGGAGGTAGCAGAAACATTACATTCTGCTCTCTCTCTCTCTCTCTCTCTCTCTCTCTCTTCTCCTATTTCTCTTATTTTTCTCCTTTCCTCTGCATTTTCTGGACAGATCTCACACTAAACCTAAGACTGTTACAGCAGCTATTCCAAGTTGGTATCACAGCAGGTTTAGGTTTAGGTTGGGATCTCATGTATGCTTAACCCAGCTGGCTACATGAGACTCTATTAGAGCTGGAGTTTCAAACCTTTTCTGCTTGATTCTTGGAGGTGTGGAGATCGATGCACTGTTCAAGTTTTTTTTTTTTTTTCTAAACTCTGGGTTTTGCCCAGTGACCAGGAAGGATCAGAGATACTACTTCGATTGAGGTTTAGGGATTAAACCTCAGATTGAAAGTGGCGCTCAGTGCTTTTTGGGTTGTTTTTTGTTTCTTCTAGAGATCGACAGCAGGAGGAAGGCCTCTAGAAGTCTCTGGAAGGAGTTGCTGGAGTATAATTATCTTCTCCATGTTCTTTCTAGGGTTTTTCCTTTGAGGAACAGCCAGTTTTTTGATTGACTGTGAACTGTGGACAGCTTTGTTGCTGTACAACCATTTTAAGATCTTTTTTTATATCCAAAAGATGTTGGGCTGTGGTATCTTGCTTGGTTCAGCATGGAGAATGTTGGGAATGAGTTTACCATTGGGGAAGGACTTGTAGGGGTTGGTAGTGTGACAGACAACTTCCAGATTACTAAAATTAAATTTGATGGACCAAACTATCTTGAGTGAGCTCAATCAGCCAGCTATTGGAGGAAGAAAGAAAGGAGAAAAAGAGAAATGGGAGAAAAGAGAGAGCAGAATGTAATGTTTCAGATGCCCCCTCATAGGCTTTTATATGTTTCAATAAAAGTTACAAAGACCAAAATACCCCTGTCAACTATAAGAGAGTAAAAATAACAAAACAGTGGCCTAACAACAGCCTAAAGACAATAAAATAAAGATGGGACTGCATATAAAAAACGTATGAAAATCAACTAAGGTTCCTTTTCTGTATCTCTACATTATTTTGGTACTCATGAACAGCCCAGGCCAGTTCCAATTTCCTCTGAGATGCTAGGTTCAGGTACTGCAATTTCACCTACACCTCTTTCTCCTTATCACCACCATGCTTTTGCTTCATGGCTGCCAAGGCTGATTCTATTTGGGAATTTTGTAGCATAACTTTCCTTCTCCTCTCCTCATTATGCACTAGAGAATAGGCTTGGGACCAGTGTTTTAAAAGGCATGGGTACGCCTACAGGCACGCCTCCAAGCGAGGCGCTCCCAAAACACCTTAAGGCGTAGCCAGAGGTGCTGACAGCTCTGAGGCGTACGCCTCAGGTGCAAGAGGCATATGCCTAGGGGTGGTCACGGTTCAGGTAATCGAACCGTGGGACTTTTTTGTGAACCGAACCAGTAGTACCTGTTTTTGGAAAACCGGTAACCGGAACCGAACTGAAACCAATCGGTTAACCAATGGTTCGGTTCATCTGTTTTTCAGTTTTTTTGACTCTATAATATTTATTATAAAAATATATATAAATATATAATAAAAAATTATAAATATATATAAAATATTATATTTTAAATAATAAATAATATATAATATATTATAAATATATCTTTATATATAATGTGTATTTATTAATTTATAATATATAATATATATAATATACATAAATATATAGAAAATATATAGAAAAACATGTATACC